GTGCTGCAGCACTGGATTTGAAGTTGAGAGGGTAAGCCTATAATGCAAAGAGTTATTTCAACCTGATGCTCTCACTAACAGTAATGATTTGAAGAAATACTCTCCTGTGGGACAGGAAGCCTGTTGTTACATACTTCATCATTGCTGGCCCTGCCTGAAAGAGCAGCTGCCATAATTCTGTATGAGTGTTTCTGATGGAACCCAACAGCTCTTCCAAAAAAACCCTGTAGCTCCTAGAAAGTCTTCATGTTACAACACAGAACTATACTGAACTGCAAGAACAGAATATTAATGCCATATCTTCTAAGGCTTCCAAACCCATTTAATAAACAGCCTATAGACAGCACTGTGCTTCACTATTCCCGCTCCTTCAGGACCATTAAATCAACATCCTTCCTTACAAATAAGAAGTTGGTCACCAAAAGGGAAGTCAAGGAGCAAGGGAACATTATTCTTCCCTCTGAGTTTTCTGAGTTCATTCAGTTGTGTCTGGTATTTCTCCCTTTTTAATTTATATAAAGTGATTATAGAAGTTTTTGCTTCAAGAAAATACTGTGTTGCTGAAAGGACAAAGGCTTTTTGCCTTGGAACCTCTTTACCCTCCATATCAGCAGAGTCCCATGTGTAGAAACTCCCCTAGATCTAGTATCTCCAATCAATACTTGTTTAATTCATTTCACTTGTCTCAGGTATTTCATCCTGACAGTTCACTTCCCTGATACACCCCCTAAAATCCAGGGTAAAATGCTCCAGCCTCTTTCATTAGGAATCTTTTCAGTCCAGAGGGAGAGGCTACCACGATCCACCAACCCAGCTCACACCTACCAGTACTAAGTGGTTCAAGTATCTCTGGATTGCACACACTACCACACTGAGAAGATGACATTTAGCCTGCCTCCAATCTTGAGGTTCCCTAAGGAGAAAGGGAGAAACTTCATTCCAGGGCTCTGAATCCCTCTGGAGGACACTGACTAACACCTGCCTTCCCTTTCCAGTCCATCCAGGCATCTCCTTGAATTTGGCATCTGGCTCATAGGACCAGATGCAAAGCCCACTGGCACTGGGAGAATTTCATCCTTCAGCATGCTGTCCATCAAGAAGGGAACACAAACCCTTTCTGTTCTGCCTATGTTTGATGCAAAACTATACCCAGATCCAGAAAGATGTGCCAGCTCTGTAGCATCATCCAGCCTAAACCCAGTACTGCAGGGAAAGCGTGTGGGCTCAAACATGGAAGGTTGAGATCCATGGAAGACATTAGTTTTATTACCCACAAACCTCATGTTTGACCGTAAAATCACATACACAGGTTTCAGACAGCAAAACAATAGGAGTAAAATGTATTTCAATTGCTGCATGTACCCTGCTGGTGTAACCAAGAGTGAACAACTGTGTAATGAAGATCCCAGCCTTTGTGAACTACCATGAAGCCTCTTTTCTAGGGGGGTTTTCACTATAAAGCATCAACATTTATCATAGAATCATATAATCCTGAAATGTTTTTGGTTGGAAGGACCTTAAAGCTCATCCAGTTCCAACCACTGCCATGGACAGGGATACCACCAGGTTGCTCCAAGCCCCTGTGTCCAGCCTGACCTTGAACACTGCCAGGGATGGGGCAGCCACCTCCAGTATTTATGTAGAGATCATACCTTCCTGAAGAGCCATGTAGCAAGATGAACCACCCCAAATCAAGGACCCTCTTTCTTTAACATGCCATTTCCAAATGCTCCTAGTGAGAAAGATGCCATTGCTTACGTCAGTATTAGAGCTGTACCTCGACTCCATTATTCATCAAATACCAGGTTTCCAACAGAGCAGATTTGAAATAGTAACTCTTTGGTTATTGTTGCCCTAAAATAAATCTCCTATAACATGTTTTACAAGCATTTTTCTACTCTCAAGTGATACTTGAAAGTGCTTTGGCCTGTGAAAGAATATACAAACTACAGATCAGATGCAGAAATCCTTGGTTTCAAGCAATAGCTTGTCTGCTTGTTTGAGACTATGACAAATCTAGGAATCAAAAGCTTTCCACATGTGAAAGCCACTCCATTTTCCCGCTCATTTCCACTCCATTTTAGTGGTGACATTAGTCTGTGTATCCCCACTTTATGACTGGACTCTGTAATGCCAAAAGTAAAGCAGAGGAACCACATCTCTGAAGGATTGCTGCCTACAGCAAGAGAAACCAGTGAATTGCTCTCATTGCTTCCAAATGCCTTGCTAAAAACACACACTTGATCATACAACTTGCATGATACACTTACGATGCTAAAAGTTCTGTGTAACCATTCTAGGAAGTTTATTTTCAGTCTTAAAAATGATATAAAAACATTATCTAGGGAAGAAAATGTATTAATCATCCATCCTAGAAAGAGGAGAAAACAATACTTGCCCTGAACCTGATGCATCTGGAGTGTGAATCTAGAGTTGAATTCCTCCTAATTGATTAAAAGAAAAGCCATGACTTTCTTTTCATTCCATGATCAAAAACATACCATGCCTTCATTAGCACGGATTACAGATGGGAATAGAGCAGATGCCTTAAATGCATCCTGCCAGAGCACTTGCCAATTACAATTTCCTTGGTTTAACTCTACCTGATGCCAAATTGGCTATGAAAATGCTGTAGTCTTTCTATTGAGGTTGTTATCAGTAGTTTACTTTGAATCCTTTGTATTGCTCCATCAAAAATCCTCTGTCTGAGTCATGCTCACATGTCACAGCATTCCCACTGGCTGCTGGAAGCCTGTTGGGCAAATACTGTATATTTGACAACAGCAGTTACCCAAATGATAACAAGAACTTGAATTAGGAACCCAACTGAGACAACATGCAAAGAGCTACTCACTGGGACTAAATGTTCTGACCCCTGCTTGTGGACCATTCTTCCAACAGAACCATTTGGAAGTATCCCATTTTGCAGAAGGATGTAGGATTTAGGATTCCTACCTTGAAGACATCACCAGAGGGAGCACAGAAGGAGGACTCACCATTGTGCAAATAAAGCCTTATTTCCACTTCCAGGAAAGGGCTGCAAGTATCCCTTGACCCTTAAAGATTTCTCAAACCCTGGGAACTAGAAGTCTGGAGACCAGGAGAAACAATGTTCTAATAAACAAACATGACCTTGCCTGTGAAACAAAACTTCATTGCCTAATAGGGCCTCCTTGATGTCTGAAAGAACAAGTCTGTTGTCACCCACACATGTGTTTGTCAAGGCAGAAAGAAACCTTATTTTCCTCCTTTCAAGCAATAGTAGTGTTCTGAAAGTGCAGAACAACAGAACCAGAGAACCCCAGACTGGTTTGGGCTGGAAGGGACCTTAAAGCTCATCCAGCTCCAACCCCTGCCACGGGCAGGGCCACCTTCCACTAGCGAAGGTTGTG